CTCAAGGCTAGCGCTCTACCACTTGAGCCACAGCGCCACTTCCGGCTTTTTTCTTTTTGCTTATGTGGTGCTGAGGAATAGAACCCAGGGCCTCAAGCATGCAAGGAAAGCGCTCTACCACTGAGCTACCTTCCCAGCCCTATGGTTATTTTTTTTACAGTGTACACTGAAATTGAATATTTTCTTCTCCAGTTCCTTCTTCTAAGACACTGAGTCTGCAGGAGTGTGTAAACCAGGAGAGGTGTGGATGAAGACTTATACACATGATTAAAATAAATAGCAACCATTAATTTGCTAACCCACAAACTGTCTATGCTCTATTTTGGGAATATGGATTCTTTCGTTAAATCTTGTTTTCAACACAGAGAAGTGTCATTTACACAACACAAAGAAGCACCTCATATTTTGAAAGATATTTTAGAGTTTTAGCTATCAACTGTCGTACATTTTCTACAGATGGTACATGATAAAATGTATCATGACCTTTAAGACACCTTCCATGTTTTAACTTTCTGCGAGAGATATTTTACTAACATCTGGGAATAAAAAAAGGTATATAATGAAAATGACCATAAAGGGCACTGAGAAGGTGGCTCAGTGGTAGAGCACTTGCCTTGCATGCATGAGGCCCTGGGTTCCATTCCTCAGCACCACATAAGCAGAGAAAGCCAGAAGTGGCACTATGGCTCAAGTGTTAGAGTGCTAACTTTGAGCTGAAGAGCTGAGGGACAGTTCCCAGGTCCTGAGTTCAAGCCCCATGACTGTCCAAAACAAAAAACAAACAAACAAAAAAAAAGAGAGTCAAGAAAATCCAGCAATTTCTTGGGTGCAAGGTACCTGATCATTTTTATACCTTTCCTTCTTACATTCAGGGCTGAACACAAAAGACAGGCACATAGGACTTCTTGCATGCATGCATGTATGTGTTATGTATGAACAGAATGTTTCCAGTAGAGGAAACTTCTGACATTCTGAGGAGAACAGGTGGATTTGTGGGAGAAGAGATCTGTTACAGAGATGGCTCATTTGCCCCCATTATTCACCTCCCTTTCTCTTGTGCTTCTAGTTTCCTTGCTTTTAAGCTTGATGCGTTTGCTAACCTCCTTCGTTGCTGAGAATGTCACGTGACTAAGTTCTAGTAAAAGGGATATGGACACAGTGAAAGGTGTATCCTTCAGGTCACAGCAGGTAGATACATAATGCATCTAAGTTCAGAAAATTATTATATAAAGGTCATATGCTGCAGACAAGTGAGGAAGGGTTTTAAGATTGAGGATAAAGAAATGTAAATTTAGGGACTGGTTGAAGGATGCCACACACTGAAGATGGGAAGGAAAGGCCAGATTTCCCAAAGGTTTGGATTTATCCTGTAGCCAAGAAGATATTGTAGGACGGGTGTGTAAGACGGAAATATCACCACTTTGACGCAAAATACCTGGGGATTGAATCTGGTTCATAGAAGACGCAGAAATTCAGCCAGGCCCAAAGGGCTTTTCCAAGTTAACTTGGATAGAGGCAGAATCATTATTTCAGAATTTTCCAAACCGCACTTTTCTGGCTGACTGCATTAAGATCAACCTGGCTTACTTGCTAAAAAAAAAAAATGCAAGTTTCTGGGTTACACTCCGGAAGGACCAGGATTCCCCCCCCCCCCGCCTTGATTGTGTTGGTACTGGGGCTCGAACTCAGGGCCTGGGTGGCCGTCCCTTCTCTCTTCTCCCTCAAGTCTGGCCCTTTGCCGCTTGAGCCACAGCTCCACTTGAGGCTTTTTTTTTTAAGGTAGTTTAATTAAGGGGTTTCACGGACTTTCCTGCCAGGGCTGGCTTTGAACTGCGATCCTCAATTCCCAGCCTCCGGAGTAGCTAGGATCCTCCTTCCTCCCCCTCCCTCCTCCTCCCTCCCCCTCCCTCCCCCTCCCCCTCTCTTTGCCAGGTCTTTGGGTGCTTGGCAGCGGGAGGCTCCTCAAGTTCACCAGGCTACGTCAAAAATGTGCACTAAGTACGTACAAACCAGTGGCAGGCGCGGTCTCTCGGCGAGCTCCGAGGAGGGCCGGGCCGAAGCAGGTGCCGCGGCGCGCGCCGGCCACACCCCGCGGG